TGAGCTCCGGCGATCCTTCCACCTCAGCCTTCCAAGTAGCTGGAACTACAGGCGCGCGCCACCACACCCGGCTAATTTTTGATTTATTGCAGAGATGAGGTCTCGCCAAGTTGCCCAGGCGGGTCTCCAACCCGCGGGCTCGGGCAATCCACTCACCTCAGCCTCCCAAGGCGCGGGATTACAGGCTGAGCCACCGAGCCCGGCTACAAGCATGAAGTTTTTAAAAGATTCAAATTTTTAAAAATTCGGACATCCAGATTTTCAAAGCACGTACTCTCTTCTTCTTCACCTTGCTTAGAATCACTTAGAAATATATCTCGGAGCTTGTCGATGATAGCAAGGAGTAAGAACTATGTGACCAGAGCACCCAGGATCCTGGACTAGCTAATTCTTGAACACCGAGGTCTCGGTCTCCCAATCTGTGTGGACAAGGCACTTCCTCCTTTAGCCACAAAGAAGTCTCCCCAGGTTGCCTGGGAATCGCGTATTTGTATTTTGCGTCTGTGTGCAAAGGTCCCCAGCCTCAAAAGGTTTGTGTGCCTGCATGTATCACGAGTGCCGGTGCTTGTAGATCAGTTACTATGCCTGTGTGAACTTAGATTATTTATGCTTCTGTGTCGGTGCATGTCGTTGTAAGTGTGACACCGTCCACTTTTGGTGTGTGTAGGTGTGTGAGTGCACTATGACGTTGCCTAAATGTATTCTTGGGTGTCTGTGTACGATGTCTGGGAGGCACACGGCTGTGTCTCTTGTCAGGGTACTGTTGTGTCTCCAGCTCCCGCACTCACTGCATCCCAACATTCTCGAAGGATGGCCGGGTGTGGAAACAGTGGCGCGCCCCCACCCCACCTCCCAGAGACCCCGACGGGACTCCTGGTCCGCCGCCGGGGCGCGCAGGACAACCGCTGCGCATGCACACGTGCGCAGCCAGGGTCGTGAGTTCTCTCGCGCGCTCTCTAGTGGCCTCGGAGGGCAACGCGGACGGCACGGGAGGGCGGGGCTGGTGGCGGCGGAAGTGAAGTCACTTCCGGGCTAGGGTGTTTGTTTGGACTGGAGAAGGGAGGCGGCGGGCGAAGCGCACGTCGAGCGGGGGAGCGGCGCTGCCTGTGGAGATCCGCGGAGGCCGACCGGACGCGTTGGCTGCCGTGCCCGCTGCCGTGCACTGGGTGAGCGGTCCCCGCGGGGGGAGCGGCAACAGGGGTGCGGCGGCCCCAGTGGTCGAGGGACAGCGCCTCAGCGACGGCTGAGGGGCCTGAAAAGCTCCCCGGGTTGTTGGCCACCGAGCCCTTCATGGCCTCCCTTGTTCGTGGCCGCTTTCTGAGGGATGATTCGGGCCGACTTCATCGCTTCTCTGAGAAATGGCCGTCGCTTTTTTTCCTCATTGTCATTATTTATGATTTGGATCTCGCATCCCTCTATCCGGGTCCTCAGTGGCGCGCGAGGGTTGCCGGGATAGCACTTTCTCGCGTTCCCCATTGCCCTGTCCTCTCTCTGCCCGGCTCGGCACCTTTTCCCCAGCCCCCCGCTACCGCCTCGGCAACAAAGCTCATTGTTTCTACCCACTTTACGCCTGCGCGTCGCCACGCGCAGCCCCGAGTTTCTGCGCGTGCGCGCTTCTGCCGAGGCTGGGGTTGGGGGAGAGAAAGGGGGGGAGAGAAAGGGGCGGAGGGACTGGCGGGCTGGTGGCGTCCTGGGGAGCGTTCTGCCACCGTCGACGCGCCCGTGCCTTTCTGGTTCTGATTATCCCGTTTCTTCGCCATCCCCACCCCTTATTTTTAGTTGTGGTGTTGCCCATGCTCCGAAGAGACCTTTGTCTGAGGTACTGGGAACCTTGACTCCAGGAGGGCTTTGAGTTAGATGATCTTTTGAAGTCCCATCCTGTTCACGTTCTTTGACTCTGGTCTTTTTTTTTTTTTTTAATTTGAAAGCAGGATTTATTGAGAGGACAGAAAAGTTCCATAGTGGGAGGGGACCCGAGGGGGTTGCCCTTCTTACCTTTTAATAATCTGTGCTTACTCTTCTCCTTCCCCACTACCATCTTCAAAAAATAAATAAGTCCTGTGAAGTTATGTCTTCAAAACATTGGTTGCAACAGCCATCAGTGGTCTTTTCTAACAGCTCCTAAAGGGGGTCTTTTATCTGCTTCCTTTTTGTCTTGCTGTCCCTAATTTAGTGCTCATCACCACCTAAGTAGAAAGAACTTGCCTTCCAGTTTGCCTTGGGAGGTGTAATAGCTGACAGCCGGGTTTTTTGTTTGTTTTTGTGCGGTTTTTTTAGTAGGCGTCTCACTCTGTCGCCCAGGCTGGAATGAAGTGGTTCGCTCACTGCCACTGCAGCCTCAACCTGCTGGGCTCAGGTGATCCTGCACATTCAGCCTTCTAAGTACTTGGAACCACAGGGGCGTGCCACCTAGCCCGGCTAATTTATTTTATTTTTATTTTTATTTTTTATTTTTCTGAGTTGGACTCCCACTCTGTCGTCCAGACTGGAGTGCAGTGCCTGCTCCCGGCCACTGCAGCCTTGCCTGTTGGGCGCCGGCGATCCTTCCGCCTCAGCCTTCTAAGTAGCTGGAACTACAGGCCTGCACTACCACACCCGGCTAATTTTTTGATTTATTGTAGAGATGAGGTCTTGCCAAGTTGCCCAGGCGGGTCTCGAACCCGCGGGCTCGGACAATCCATTCACCTCAGCCTCCCAAAGGCGTGGGATTACAGGGTGAGCTACTGAGCCCAGCTAATTTTTTTGATTTATTGTAGAGACAAAGTCTCGACAAGTTGTCCAGGCTGGTCTCGAACCCTTGGACTCAGGCAGTCCTTTCCCCTCCACCTCCCAAAGTGCTGGGTTTACAGGCTTGAGCCAACGTGCCCAGTCAACTGACAGCCTTTCATGATAATTTCAGCAGAAAGCCAATTCCCATTTTATATGTGCTGGCATATATTGTCTTCTAACGTGGCATTGTTTTTCACAAATTTCATTAGAGTACTTGATTAGGTGTTTGCATTTTTTGTTTTGTTTTGTTTTTTGAGTTGGAGTCTCACTCTGTTACCCAGACTGGAGTGCAG